TCTTACCCATTCTTTGTAGGAGCTGCTTTACCATCGACCCATTTCCATGTTCTGTCTTTTTCATTTTTACTCAAACCAATCCAGAAGCTCCCTTTCAAATTTACAATAAATGCCTAAAGAATAAAATACAGCCCATTAAAATATACTTTTAGTTGGAAAATTACAGTAAACCTACTTGTCTTGAATCTGTCACTCATAGGGAAATACCAGTGACTTCTAGAGTGTCTATAGTTTCTTTCTCAGTTTAGCAGCTGAAATTACATTTTGAATATTATTATTTTTTGAAAATGGTTGTCATACACTCTTTGGATACATCGAGTGATAAATAAAATGACCCTTTGACCCACACATCTGCACTTCAGTGAAATTGGTCTTGTTATCTTTCCTTTTTTCTACACATATTTACTATATATTCACTTTAATTTACTATGTGTATTTTCCAGCTATATGTATCTGCCCACATGCTTATCTTTATTTACTTTTTGTGTATTTGAGGATCAGAGTATCAGGTTATTGTTTAATGGCTTTGCGCTCTCTCTTTGCTTAATACCTCCCATTCTTACGCTGTACATTTTATAAATCATGCTCTAGATTTACGCTACCTGCTCAAAATCTCACCTCTTCGGTACATTCAGTGTTGTTAACATCTGTTCTGTGATTGTTTTTCACACACTCTGTTTTGTTGACCTGCACCTGCATCTGACCTGTTCCTGTGGGCTTCTGATGATCGCCAGATCCGCTCCCTTCTGCCTGCAGTCCTCACGGCTGTCATTCCAGCTCTTTGTTCCGTTGGAGACATAGTAACAGTTTATGCTGACATCCAGACTCCAGCCCTTGGGACAGACGCGATCTGCAGGGCATGTGCATACATGGATTTAGGGTCAGGCTCCTCCAACTGCGGGTCCTGACCCCACGCCAGAAGTGACATTGGGGTTGCAGGTTTGAAAAATCAGCCACGCATTAAGGAGCTGTGTGTGAGATCCTTCCCATGAAATTAGTGCTATTTAGCTTTGTATTATTAGCCTGTGCATGCATGTATTAATACGATACAAACCTATGCTTTAAAAACCTGTTATTTTCACTTTTAACTGTAGTACAAATCAAGTGTGGGTTGTGACGTTTCCTCGTGCATAAAATGGGATTGTGACATAAAAAAGTTTGAGAATCCCTGATTGAGGGGATATCTGTGTCTTTCATGATGGGCTTTGCTCAGAAGTTCCGACTGAACCATCCAATGACCTCAAAAGATGCACATGCTGACATTCAGGCTAAGCCATGTAGAGATGTTAGAAATTTTTTACTATTGTGTGGATGAGTACTTTGGGAAGTAATAGGTGACAAAATTGCAAAGGATTTCAGAAGGACCCTTGTTTAGTGTAAACATTTACATCGGTTTATGTGTCATGAACAAACACTCACTGACTAATTGGTTCTTAATGTGATTGCAGCTGGTGTACGTGTTCTTCAGCTGGTCTCTCTCCGCACTGAGCACACTCTGGTTAGACAGTAACTGGTCCCTTTCTGCTGCCAGAACTTGCTGCTTCTTTTCAGCACTGTTAACAGCTCCTATATCTATAAGGACATGAGAGAAGATACTGGGTTCTTCAGAAACATACATCAACTAGAAGTATTGGCCACTGACTCCCATTAGACAGTGATAATGCACACTAGCAGTAATATCACAGTATTGATAAACTCACAGCAGACAGACAGTGACCTAACCCACCCAGCTGATGGACATTAGCAGTAATATCACAGTATTGATAAATTCACAGCAGACAGACAGTGACCTAACTCACCCAGCTGATGGACACTAGCAGTAATATCACAGTATTAACAGACTCACGGTAAACAGCCAGCACTATGAGGGCCGTCAGCAGCAGGAAACACAGCAGCCCCAGACACACTACAGCCGGTCTGTGTTTTCGGCTCTCTGTAGACTCAGAGCCTGAGAAGGGAGACCACAATGAATGACAGATATGCTCTCACATTGAACAATGTTGAACAACCAATGCTTGACAGTTGCTTCTATGCAAATCACCAAATTATTTGTATTACATATTCACTTCCATTTGCGGATATGTTATATTAGCCATACACACTTGATGTAGGTTCTTCATCACATATTCCTTAGTCATGGTCTCATATATCTGCATGCTCTTGTAAACTGCACTTATCTAGTAGGAACCTCATGGTGTTTTGATTTGAAAAGGTCCTCTGATGTTAACTTCTGACCATGTACTGTGTAGCATTAGCATCAGGGCTCGCTTGCGGTTGTCACTGGTTCATTGGCAGCTCAGATAAAACTTGATTTCCTGCACACTACAGGCTGAAGGTCTGGGCCCACCCTCCGGTTTTTAAAAAAATAAATGATGCACTGCTTTTGCAAACTTTTATTACAAGAAAATATTAGAAATGCTTCAAACAAATGTAACTGGTTTTTAAGTGTAATGTAACAATTTACTCTGCACTGTACGAGCATTCTAATGAATGCGAGAGCCTAAGTAGGGGTTTAATCAAAACAACCAGCCTTTGCCTTTATCACAGCAGCACAGAATCACAGCATCCTGTCCACAATTTTTGGAAATAACTTTGGATGACAAGTGCAGCCCCACTGACTCTGAACCAAACACAGCTCTTAGTTCTACACTCATAGAGCCAATGGCCAATTATCTTTGGCTCTCAGCGGAGGCGGACGCACTTCTCTCCCTCTCCTTATCTGCCCTGCTTTGCTCCTCTCGTCTTGTCTAGTCTACTGTCTTGTACTTTAAGAGACCCTCTCAGCCCTGCTCTCCAAACTAAGAAAAATCATGGATTTGATCAACTGGTCTCTCAACGCAATAGACACCATCTTCTCGACGAGAAGCGCAGGTTCGGGGGAACCTGACTGTCCTGCAGGAATGTACGTAGCCGGCTACACGATGGACGGATGGGAGAAGTGGAGGGTCGTGTGGCTGGCAGCTCTTTCCGTGGAGGACATCGAAGATATCTACCTATTCGGAACCGTGATTACAGGTCTTATGCTGATTGGATTAGGCATTGCCCTGGTTTATCGAAGATTGAAGAGAATGGTGACAGCCGCTCAAAGCCCCACTAGGCTGGTCGGGATGCAGAGCTGTTGGCACTCAGACTGTGACTATTGATCGCAAATTGGATAACATCACGGAGAAGCTCACGGCTTTGCAAAGGATTTTGGATGGCGGAGACCAGCATGGACATTAGAAGAGCTGTGAAATTACAGCTTCTCACCCATAAACCCAAACAACCCTATTCTATCTGCTTTTGGCTCCCCCCTAATCAGCATTGGCCTTGGCCAAAGCCGCTGCTGAATTCAACAACTCCCCCGGAAGAACAAGGCAGTGAGACTCTCTTGCATTCCTCTCCCCCAATCCCAAGGACACCTGGATACACACACACATATACATACGTACAGATATGCACTCACCGCACCCTCCCCCCATCCCACGCCTTCGCCGCTTCATACCCCCAGCGTGAATAGGCGGGTCTGTGACCAGCGCCTCTGGCTGCAGGACCGGATGGCTGTTTGTCTATGCTGGACTACCTCCACCTCCCCATTCCCCTCCCCTGTTGCAAGTCACAACTTTTTATGTTGTAAGGTGTAGTGACCATGTGCTGATGTTGCTGAGGTGTTTTTTCTGTTCCTACATTGTACTCCCTACTGGAGTACAGTCTGGGGGCTGTTTTTTTATTCTCCTCCTCTCTCCTCATGTGATTCTGTTTTTTTCTGTTCTTCCTATATCCATGGCCAGTTTTTTCGCTGGTACTTGTGACTAGTGACATGGTGTATTGCAACAGCAATAAAGGGTTTCATCATTGTCATCATCATCATTCCCTCTTTTTCTGTTAGCATGTTAGCACGTTAGCATGCCGGGGGGGGTTGGACAGCTAGTCGACCTTGGACACCCACAGGCTTTTTTCTTCCTACTTGGGAGATTTCAGTTGCTCTCCTCCATTGTCATCTGCCGTTTCTATCTTTCTTTCTTTTTCTTTCTTTCTTTCTTTCATTCATTCATTCATTCATTCATTCTTTCTTTCTGTCTTTCTTTCTTCACACCCCTTCAGGGTTAGTGCCATACGCAAATACAATTACATTGTAGCGAATGATGCCTGGCCAGTGAACAACACTCTTTGTTCTGTTTAAATAGGAGTCAGAGCTCACTGCGAACAGCTCCGAGTCAGATCACAGACCAGCTCCATAACCGCATCACAGACACGCGACAGGTAGCAATGACCGGATTGTGTGGCTTTATTCCACACCCAGGACCCTTAACTCTGGGTTTTCAGCAGAGTCATGTCAGCTGTTGTTTGTTTTTTTTTGAAGCTGGCAGTGATTGGCTGCTCACTTCTTACCCACGGTGGGTGTCCTCGGGGGTTGTACCTACTCAAAAAGTCACCTGTTGGCCCCCGGCACCCAAAGCGATGATTGTTTAACAGCCTAAGAGGCCCAATGCAAAAGCTTGATTGCGAATGTGCACCCGGGAGTCCTGTTCACAGTTCTGCTGTTGCTGCATTCGCCCTGCTTGACATCAGTGGCCAAAATTAAAATGTTGCATTACTCACATCCATACTTAATATGTCAAATATATTCAGTGGTTGAAAAGCAGCTTCCTGCCTTCTTTCTAGGTATAAAGCCCCAGCAAGTCCTGCCAGAACCTTCCGTGGAGGAAAAACATTCAAGGTAATTCAACAAATTTATCATGTGTCCCCAATGACCTCACACTGCTTTTGTTCTGGCACATTGTGTCGTGTATGTTGTGGCACAAAATGCTACATAACTAATTTTCTCAATATAAAGGATATTACATTATACACAACACAAAGTTATATCCTAACCACAACAATCAACAGTCTATTAGTACATTACATGTCCACCTTGGGGTCACTGCAATGGCTAGATTGTGTACTATGGTTTCTAAAACTGTGGTAAAGTAAAGTGTCCCCACGTGCATTGATAGCTGTTAGGGCCTTCATGTTCTTACCTGAGAGTCGAGTTCCTGGGTTCTTCAGTGCCTGGGCTGCTATGATGGAACGCTTCATGGAGAAGCTGTTGACATAAACATGCTGATCGAGGTCCATGTCCGTACTGGTGGTCACCACTGATACATCCCAGGTACTCTCCACTGTGTCTAAACCGGACTATATGAACCTGAGGAACATTTGATTGGCTTTGTTTGCTGAATATAATCACCAACACGTTGCAAAACGTCATGGTATTGCCACAGTCTTTTTTATGTATGAAAAGAGGAAGCTTCAGTGTTTATGAGGAAATGATGAAGACAGAATATTCAATATCTTTATAGTACAATACAAAACTCTGGCTGATTTTTATTCCCTGTATTTTCCATCTGCATGAAAATGTTTCGACACATCTGATTAATTGATTTTTTTAGACACACATTGAACATGCTGCCTTTATATTTAAATGGAATGAATTACCTCACGCCTTTATGGAATGAATGTGGAAGAAATGTGTTGAAATCTCAGTTGGTTTCCAGTGTGTCATCAGAGCCTGGGATTTCCTCCACGGGATTTACCATTTTTAAAAGACAGATTTTTTCCTTCTTGATTAATTTTATTTATGAAAGTAAAATTCAGAAACCTTGCTCACTAAAATTTTGCTTAAGATGTTACCTAGTAAAGAACAATATGTTCCCTAACTTTACCAGATGTAATCCCACGGTTACCGTGGTTATTACTCCAGTCAGGCATCATTAAGCAAAATGTAATAGAGTTCAAGTTTGATCAATCCATCTGACTGAGTGGTAAGTAGAGGTCTTTCACTTACTCATACAGATTTATCGGAAAAGCCCTTAACACTAATGTCTTCTAAAATTGCTTTCATTAAAATCACCTTTGGTTGTCTAGATCTCCACATGACCTGGGTATTTACAAATGGGCTCCCCAGTGACAAGCATCCTTCTAAGTCTAAACTCAGTTCTTCATCTGGTCACAGCTATCCACTTGTCCAAAGAATCTTCTCGAGTTACTAGAGGTAATGTGGGAGATCATCTGAGCTCTTGTTAGGATATGTTTTGATTCTGTGAGGGTTTTTAGTCAGGGACTGTCGATTCCCCTGCTCCCAGCTGTGCTTTCACAGCAACGATCCTCTCTGCTCAACAGACCCGTCAGATTGTGAACAGTGATCTGGTCGCCACAGCGCAAGGGGAGAAAAAAAGAGGGTGTACGGAGTGAGTAAAAGAGGGCGTACGGAGGGAGTATATGAGGGTGTATGGAGAGAGTAAAAGAGGGTGTATGGAGAGAGTAAAAGAGGATGTACGGAGATGTTGCATAAGCTTGTGGAAACAGTGCCATGACAAATGTGTGCCATAATCAAGCTAAAGGTGGTCCAACTGAAATTTTTGTTTTGGCCGGGCAGTGTATCTCGCTGTACCTGTTGCATAAAGGTCAGTACTTCTCCATTCATTTGATGAGTGTGTGACTGGACCATAGTCTGTGTTTCTGTAACCAAGTGAACAATCGAGAACGCTGTGCACGTTCAGCGTGCTTCCAATAGTGAACTGTGGGGCACAATCATGTTGGCCCCATGCTGAGAGCAGCCAGTAGAAAAATAATAGAATTATATATGTGAAGACCATTTAGTAAACATCACTTACGTATCGCCACTGC